ATAAAATTTTATTTATAAAAACAAGCAGCAGTCTTGGCCAACACCTGCCACAGACTCTCTCTGCCCACCCTAGGGATACTTGATCACTGCCATGCCTCTAACATGGACTTATTTTGTTATTGGGAACAACAAATTTAACCTCTCTGTATCTGAATTTCTTTTTGCGTTTTAAGAAAATATCATTACTTATCATGTCACTTCCTCATAGAAATTTCAAAAGGACTGATGAGCTAATGTTTCAAAGTACTATGATTTTTTGATGAAGGGCACAAGAGAAGTACTAATTATTATCAACGATATCGTTTAAGCTACTATCATCTGATTATTATTGCACCTGGGAATAGAATAAGGACTCTGATTCATACCACTCTATGATATTCAAACGTATTATGCTATGGCCTCTTACCCTAGAGTTTCCTTTCAAATGACTAATGAAAAACTATGAGTCTAATGCTAATATTACCCTTTCATGTCTTCCAAAGATTAAATAGAAGAAATAAAAGAAACAGATTCCACCTTTTTATATACAGGGGTTTAATTTTTTTCATTTATCTTTGATAATTCTTCAGCCTTAAAGCCTAAAAATGAATCATTTATAAGAAACAAAATAGACATGTGAGCTATGATGAAAATCATTAAATAAAATTGATTTTTTTTTTTTTAATTTGTTCACCTTTCGGAGAAACTCCATTAACAGTAAATTTCTTAGACAAGAGATTTTGGAATTAGCTATATGTTAAAATATGATTTAAAAACACAGTGAATTATCAACACTAATTTCATCATTTCTTAGGAATACTAGTGTACATATTCTTTTACATCTCTCCCACCACCAATTATCAACCAGTCTGGCACTTTTAACAATTAATGCATTTGATAGATATTTCTTTAGTATCCATTATATACAAGGGGCTGTTAGAAAGGTGGAAAGTTGTACATATGTCAATAAAAAGTAGCACATAAAAAGTGCCCTCAGCATGTTAACATACAGTATCTTGGATTCTGAGGGAAAAGGAAAGTACTTTTAGCTTCATTAATAAAGGAAGACTTATTTTATTGCAGAAGTGATATTTGAGCTGAGTCTGGAAAACAGCTAGAAAAAAGAAAAAAAGACAGAAAGAGCTTTCCAGAGAGCCCCAAACACAAATCCTATGCACAGACATACCATTGTGAGCTGTTCAGATCATATAAAAGGTTGTAAATAATTCAAGATATGGCGGTAAATCATGGAAGGCCAAATATAAGGCTAACAAGTTTTAAGAAAAAACCTAGTGAAGAATTTTGAAAGGAGTAGAGCTAGATTTTATTAATTCATTCAACAAATATTTTTTGAACTCCTATTATGTGTTAAATGTTTTTCTACATTGCATGAATACAGCAATAAATGAAAAAGATGCAGGAAAAAAAAATTTCCGCCCTCATTCTGGTGTGGGGGGCAAACAATAAACAAAATAAGTAAGTGATATAGTATATTTGAAGGTTGAATGCTACAGATAAGCAATTCCAAATACAGCAGAGAAGCCATTATAAATAGGTTGGTGTGGGTGGCACCTGAGGTTACATTTGAGCAAGAGTTTGAAGAGGTGAGGGAGCATGCCATGCAGGTATCTAGAAGAACAGAATTCCAGGCAGAGGGAATGCTGATGCAAAGGCAGTAAAGATTAGCAAAGTAGCCTGTGTGAGTGAGGGAGAGGACAGAAGGAGATGATGTCAGAGAGGTAAGGAAGGTCGTATCACCTAGAGACTTGTAGATAATCATAAGGACTCTGGATTTAGAAATATTCATCTACCAGCATCGGGCAGAAGGGAAAGCAGAAGGGAAATTAGAAGTGGGAGCAAAATCAGAAAAGCTATTTTCCAGGTGAAAAGGTCTGAAACCATTCATTCATTTAACTACTCATTCATTCACATTAATTCAGCACATATTTAGGAGACACTATGCTAGATACTGACACTAGAGCTATGACTGAGATGGACAAATCTCCCCCAGATGAAGCTGACCTTCGAGTAAGGATAATGGTAGCATGTACAGAAACATCCCATATGTTGACAAGCTTATGAAAAGCTATAAAAATTCAAATTTTATTTATAAATCCAAAAAATCTTTAATACTGTAAAAGAGAAGATCTCAAAACTTCCAATTGTATAAACAGCCCTTAGTCCAGTTCCTAAGTATTTCTTTAGAAATAGCCTTCAATAAAATATTAGCCAGTATTCTTTTTACTCTTAAGATTACTTTTGAAAAGAAAGACTGGATATTTTACATCAAAATAAATTATTCAAAACATCCAAGTCATGAAGAATAAACTGAATATCTGAGGCCTATCATTCCACCAAGCATGATATGAGTCACAGACTACAAATATATTAATTCAAATACAAGCATTTGTGAATATATTAATTTAGCAAGGAAAAAAAAAAAGCAAAGACCAGTCCAAAATTACCAAGTTTGTCTGTAATCCATACAATAGCATTTTCTAAACTAATTGCTTATGCATGAAGATATTATCACTGGTGGCTGGACGACTGCCTTTAGTATCCCTATAATGATAAACCTCCTGTCACAGAGGACGGATAGGAGCCAGTCTCTGCTGTCAAATTGTCATGGAATTATTAAATATGGAGGAGAAAATGACCCAAACAGTATGTAATAAGCTCCCTTTTCATTCTCTTTCTACCAAAGCACATCTGTGGATTGTTAATGACTCTGAAATGGATGAACCAAATTGATAAAAAAGAAAAACATCTCTCAGGAAAAGGGAAAATGAGCACACACAATGTTTATAAAATATAATTTAAAATATAAGCCTTTTGACAGTATTGTGAAATACTATAAAGTGGCATATGAATGTAAGCTACTATTACTCATTTTAGTATTGCTTTCCTTGCTTTTCTTTACATTTTTTAATATAAACTATTAATCTTTCTAAATATAGAGACATACCAAGACCTATTCACAAATAGTACATGTGTATGACTTTCATGAGGAAGCACTACCATTTTCTAATCTGATAATTTCTATTATACTATTATGTTGGATGTTTTTTTTTTTTTACAAGACGTGACCTATGGGCTATGTACAGTGACTTAAATGTGTGTCGGGCTCTCATTATCTTGGCTCCCATGGATTCTGTACCAAGTCCCATTGACTTTTCATGTCCAGATTCTTTGTCTCACAAAGACTCACTTGCCCTAGGAAGCCCAGGAAAGCCACACTTTACTTAGCTCAAGGGCATGATTCAATCATGAATTTCTTCGAGCAAAGGTATGGGTATTGCCCATCTTTGTACCTTAGTGCCTGACACTGTACAAATCTTCCATAATCCTGTACTAAGATGAATGACTTATTTAGAAGGCTATCAAAACAGAAGCAAGCACATTAACAAAATTATCATAGTGTCAATCCATACACTAGAGCCACCATTTTATTTGGTCATATTTAGTGACTCTGAGGTTGTCTTCAGAAATCTTAGAGTTGAAGAATTTTTGATGTGTTTTAATATCTAACAGTGTAGTGAATCAACAGAACAGGCCTTAATCCTTGGTTTAAGGATAGATACAAACCTAAAAATAGTAATTTGCTTTTCTCGGGGTGTATTGGTTAGCTATATCACAAAGGTAGCATGCTGTTAAAAAGAAAGACTGACCAATATTTATAAACATAGTGCCATATAATCCTGGAAATGAAACTGCCTCTAATACTCAGGCTCTCTTCATCAGAGGGAGAACTACTCTAAACACCACTGTACACAAAGAACTTTATTTGGCATAATTATATATTTCAAGTAGGAGTGAAGAGTCATTTGGCACATGATGGGACTCTTCCACACAGGGTAAAACATGAGCAAAGAAAGAAAAATGAGAAGTCATTAAAGGGAAAATTAAACAGTATATGGTTGATATACGTTCATTAACAACGCATTGTGTGAAATGTAGGATCAGGACTATAACATTTAAAAAGAAAAATAGCATTTTAGTATATTACTATTTACTAAAAAATCTTCAAATTTAAACATACTTTAAAGTAATCTTTAAAATACAATGCACTATCTCTCCATTCATACATATCCATGGGAAATTCATTCTTACACAACTTGTCTATACAAAGCCCAAAGGGTATCCTACAGATAGATCGCTTTGTAATTTTTCAGTCACACTTTCTCCACCACTAAAAGAAAAACAAAAAACAGCTTCACTTTTACATAAAATGTATTCACAGACCCAGGCAGTCTCATAAGAGGAAGGTAAATGGAAAAACAATTAATTGGTGTCTCAATTTCCGGGTCAAGGCACACCTTGATTGTGCAGTGAAACCTTCTACCTCCACCACCCAGGGCCTGAAGACAACGTGCTAAAAAAAATCTATGCCTTTAATCAGTTTCCTTCTTAGCATTTTTATTCCAAACTACCCTACTCAGTTGGCTAAATGACTAAACAACAAGGTCAATCAAATGCAATACTTCTCTCTATTCAAATATAATGGAAATTTTGACCATTCCACATTCAAAGAGCAAATACATTCTCACACTGACAACCACATTCCATTGGCTTTTTCCTGAAAGCAAAGTGTGACAGATGCCTTGGCTGTAATTGCCAATCAGCCTTTACATGGCAGCTGAAAACACAATACATCACTTTGATCTCCTTTGCTCTAAACACATTCACAATCAAGGAACCTGAACAAGGAATAAGAAATTGGCATCATTTCCAGAAGCTGTCACTCCATGGCACTTAAATACTATAATGTATATTTTGCTCATATTTTTATTTCTTTGTTTTAGAAACACTCTGATGAAGATCTAAACAAAAATAACCTGCAGTCAAACATCATATACATATATATTTGGAAAACACATTTTATCACCACATATGATAAAATATGAGCACATTTAACTAAATACCACCACTACCATTTCCTTTCCCAGTTATGCACCCGTGGAATGAAACAAATAAGAATGCTTGTCATATTTTGAAACAATGTTTAAAAGAATGTTACTCACATTTTGCAGGCAGGTCGTAGCCACATGTGATTTTTGCATGTCCAGTATCACAGCCGTTCAGGTTACGACATTCAGCTAGCAAACAGGGGCCAGCTGCTCTGTGAATACAGCCATCCACTAGGGGGGAGAGAAAAAAGTTAGCTCATACTTGACCATTTGGAGATAAATGCAAAACTTAAGATAGGAAGAAAAAAGGAACTCAATTTGCTCATATTAGAAATCACCATAGCCCATGGAAGAAAACCCATGGTCGCCAATCCCTCGAACACTATGTTTTCCAATTTCTCTCTCTCTCTCTCTCTCTCTCTGTGTGTGTGTGTGTGTGTGTGTGTGTGTGTGTGTGTGTGTGTGTGTGTTTAGTTTGTGTGGTTAACAGAAGTAGAAAGGTTATAGAAGTAATGTGCCTAAATGTTAAACACCAGGTTCTCAATGTGTGTGTGTGTGTTTTTTTTTTGGGGGGGGGTCCCTAATTTGTAGCATTTTCTAATTTCAATTGTGTAACTATTCCCACCATGTCCATTTCAAGCTATCAACTCAGTGTCACAGAACACAAGGTTGGGAAGAAATGCTAACAGTTCTATTTCCTGAGCTGGTAAGTATTGTCTCCAACAGGTTGTAGATGAAAACAAAGTTGAGAAGAAAATGAGAAAGGCGCTCTGGAACATTTGGACTCACCTCAAAACTGAGAGAGTGGAATTAAAGCTAATCAAAGCCAGAACCAGACCTCTGAGTTCCTCCTCCCCAAATACCTTTCTTCCAGGTGTGTAACAGGGCACTAGATGATGGACAAAGGTAGCTTAGGTCTTGATAAATACCTACAAAACCACCCTCACTCACTTGACAGGGACTAAAACAGAACTGCTGCTGCTACTGTTGTAACTTTGCTAAATGATCAGGCTTTCTGCCCTTCACCAACCTCAGGTCTCACTGGCTCCCTGGCCTTCACAGTGAGAATCATAAATCTGATGCCATCGGAAATGACAATTTTATATGACTGTATTGGGGGTAAATGAACAGGTGAAAGGCTTAAAGACCATATGCACGTAAATCAGGACATTGAGAATCTGAGTTCTTAGTTGTTATTGAATGGTCCCCTTGGACAGAAAGGAAATGCAAAATTGCAACGAGAAGGGCAATGAGACAGAAAAAGAGAGTAACAGTCATCTGAGATGTAAAAATAGACCAGGATATTAGTGGTCTGATGCTCTCTACCCAGACCATTTCCCCTCTCTCTACTGTTCACAACACCATGTAATTGACCATTACTTTTTATTCTTATTATTTTTATTATTATTTTGAGAAAAAGATAAATATATGATAAGAGGTGGTCACTGAGGGATGTATAACTTTTCTAATGTCCACCATTGACGGGTATGAAGGCATCGCTTTTGGCTGAATAAGTCTCCTAAGGAAACAGGGTCATCTGGGCTTTACCACATCATCACTTGCATATCTGTGAAGTTTGAGAATGAACCTGGGCCTCAAAGACCCTCACAACAAAATGAATTCACTCCAGACTATCTGAAACTACAGTGTTTCAGAAAACCTATGTTGATATCCAGACTCTACCTTTACCAGGCATATGGGACTCAAGCCCCAGTTTCCTTAGATATACATCAGTGTCAATAACAACACTACTTCACATGGCTGTGTATGGAATTTGAATCATATAATGGATGAGAGGCACCGCATAGTGTTTAGTACAGTGCTATGTGCACTATTAAGGTAATTATCTTAAATTCCTTAAGTGGAAATTTTGTGTAAATTTTAAAATGTTTTCCTCATTTAAAAATGAGGAATATAAAGAAGTAAGAATAATATGAAAACCACCATTTACTCTCCAACCAAGAGAACTCAACATTTGGATGCTCATTCTTTCACTTTTTATGCACACAGGCACTCATAGATATAATTTTTTCTTACAAAAAAGTTTGATAAATTGTTCAAATTCTTTCACATAGCAATTTTTACTTTTAAAATTTATTGTATAAAATAATTAACACAAATGCAAAAGATATAAGTAAAAGATATATCAAAGTTGTTTATAATAGTGAAAACTGAGAACTACTCAGATAAATAGAGAGCTGGTTAAATAAAGCAAAGTCTATCGATGCAATGAACTATTATGCAGCTATTAAAAACAATGGGCCAATGTTATGTAAATAGAGTCCTGAACATAAAAAGATTTCTAAGTGAAATGCCAGATGTAAAAGAATTTATATAGTATAGTCACAATTTTGTTTACAAAATTATACACAAACATACATATACATATACATTGATATACATACACATAAACACATATAGGAGTTAGAAAGATATACCCCAAAATGTAAAAAAATGATTATGGGACGGGAAACAGAAGATGAGACTATCAGGTAAAAAATTAAACCCTAATTTCTCTATGTTTGATTTTTCTTACAAGAACTTCAAGTACTTTAACGTGAACATATTCTCTTGACAAAGAGATAATTAGTTAATTTGTTTAAAATGAATAACTAATATAGGATTTGCTAGTGTACTTAATCATATGCTGTCAAATATTGTCTACATTATACAGATTGCAGCCTAATGCAGTTTGAAGATATGTAATTCTCAAAATCTTCATGGCTATACCAGCATTCCTGACTGCTGAAAGTCTAGCTGAAGAGCTATTTAATAATAATGACTATAGCCTAAATATACTGAGTGCATCTTTGTGCCAGGAACCATAAAATGAGGACAACTTTATAAGGTAGATACTAATTTTATTGTCACCATTTTATAGGAATTTAGAAGAGGTTAGTAACTTGCCTACATTCACAAAGTATTGGCAATGTGATTCAAAATCCCACCTTGCTCTAGTCTAATTCATTAAAATTCACAGCCTTCAGTACTTGAATCCAGGCAGTCTTACCTCAATTCTTGCACGTAGAATGTTGAACCACTAAAGACATTACTTTTTAATTCCCATCAATTTTATTCATGAGTTACAACGTACATACAATCAATTTTGCAGTTTTGATGAGTTTTAACAAACATACATACTCATGCAACCATGATGTCAATAAAGATACAAAATGTTTCCAACAATCCAAAAAGCTCTCCTGTGCCCTTGCTGTCCGATTTCCCCCTAACCATAGCTAAATTTCAACTGTTGTATAACTTCAAACTTCATATAAGATATGGGGAAGAGAGAGCTTGCTTTCACTCAGCAAGGTTTTGAGATTTATCTGTGTTGTTGCATGTATTCATTATTTTTAATGAATGTACTTCATTATTTTTATTCCTAATATTCCATGTTGAGTACACAATAATTCATCCATTAATCTGTGAATGGACATTGGAGTATTTAAAATTTTTAGCTATTACGAATAAATCTTCACACTTATACAAGTCTTTTTGTGGTTAAATATTTTTATGTTCATCGGACAAATATCTATATGAGTAAAATTGCTAAGTCAGTATATGTTTTACTTCGTTCACAACTAACATACAGTTTCCCAACAGATTATACCAATTTACATATACCCTGTCAGCACCAGGCTGATTGAGAAGGGAAGGTTTCGGTGGTGAGACGCCCAGTTGAAAGAACGCACAGGGAGCTGATATGAGAGCGAAACGACAGGCACTAACTTTATTGCGGGGAGCACACTTCCGCGTTGGGGGACTGCATGGGCTTATATATGCCAGAGAACAATAGTGGCATTCTGACACACATGTGTGATACAGCAAGCTGAATCATTCTTACATAAGCTGGTGCAGGCGCACTATTGTGTTTAATGTAACACACTAGATCCGGAGTCCTGTCCCTAGCAGTGAGCCTGGATCACAGCCAGACCTGGGATCAGCCAGGCCTGGGGCCCACATGCCTCCATCAATGTATGAAAGTTCAAATTTTAGCAATTCTTTGGTGTTGTCAGCCTTTTTAATTTGAGCGATTACAATGAATATAAGGGGGTATCTCATTGTGACTTCAAATTTCCCTGATGATTAATGATGTTAAGTATCTTGCCAAGTGCTTATTAGCCATTCATATATATTCTTTCTGGAAATGTCTGTTTACATCTTTTGCTATTTTCTTTGTCTTTTTATTACTTAATTGTGTTAAATGTGCTATGATTTCCATTCAACTTTTTATTTCAAATATTTTATTTCTTCAGTTCTCAAGATTTTCTTTTGGTTCTTTTTCTTACAGTTTTCATATTACTCCTGAAATTTCCTATCTCCTTAATCATTATGTCCGCCTTTACATGTAAATGCCTTAACAGATCTCACATAGTAATTTTAAAGGCCCGTCTGCCAATTCCGATATCTAGATCAGCTTTGAATCTCTTTATATTGACTGATTTTTCACATGACTCTTGTCTCATTTTCTTGTTTCTATGCATGTCTAGTAATTACTGATGTCATCTGAACATTGTAAATATGTTATAAAGGCTTTAGATGCTAAAGTAATGTTTGCTATTCCCCACATTTTACATTATAAAGTCTTTAATTCTAAATGTGATTCCAACTTACCCTCCCAACCTCATATCATTCCATTCTTTCTCTCTTGGCATCGCATCAGTCTGATCTAGGTACAACTAAATCCTCCCTATTCCTCAAACATACCATGACTTCCTTTCTAAAGTACTCTCTACCCAGACCATTCAGCTACCTTTTCTTTTCTGTCTAGCAAGGTCTTTCTCATTTTTCAACTCTAATTTCAATGTTTTCTCCTCTAAAAATTCATTCACAAAAACCTATTCGCAAACCATTTACACTTTGCAGGACAAAATAACGTCTCTTTATGTTCTCATAAGGTTCTGATTTGTACCCTTATTTTCATACTTATAAATTGTTTTATAGCTATTACATAAATAAAGCAGACTTTTCATATTCTACTAGCTCCTTGAGGGCATAGGTAGTGGCTTATTCTTTTGTATATCCCCAGCTATCTTTATAACTGACATTTTGTAGGTGCTTAATAGATGCAATTAAATGTGGGAGAAAGTAGTGTAGGTTTGTTTTTTTGTTTGTTTTTTTGTTTTTTAATTAAGGAAGTGGTCAGGCTAGTTAAATCCAAAGAATCAAAAATTAAAAAGTAAAGTTATATATACAGCAACATATAATAGTTACAAGTCTAGTGAAGAGCT